TTTTTTTTTTCCTGCAGACGCGGATGATCCATCCAGCGTCAAGGCTGCCGCAGCCAAAGTTACAGAATGCCTAAAAGGGGCTGGATTGAACCTCCTGGTTAATAATGCAGGGATTGTAAATATTAGCAGCCTGGAGACTGAAACACCAGAGAGCATGGCTAACACCTACAGAACCAACGTGATTGGGCCCATGATAGTCGTCCAGGTAAGGAAACTTTGTGCACCTTTCCTGTCTGAATTGAAAGAATATTTAGAGGCAGGCATTCCAGACAACAGGTTTTGGCATGTTGACTGTGGATATAAGATGGAAAAATTACGTTGACTGAAAGAGGGATGTTAAGTTTGTTCCATTTAGTTAAGACTACAGGACAATTCTGACATTTTCTTGTAAGTCATTGCCAAATCTTTGGGGTCTGTTCTGGACCATGAAGGTCTGTATGTTAGAAGGTTTGGCATTTATTGGGTTAAGTGCTGTCTCCTTAAGAGATGGCTTATGAGTAATGTAGTTTAGCTAGTCAGATATCCCATGTTAATAAGTCAGTGGTAGGAGGAAAGGAGGAGCCACTAAAGTTCACCACAGGATATCCTAGCCATGAGCCAGTTTGGAATGTTCTTTGTCTGAGATAAGCATGGGGCCATCGGATGTCTCAGATGGCTCCACTCCACGTAAGAAGTTGGTGTGGAGAAGCTAATGAATTTACCTAATGAAGATGAACAGATTACATTGTCCAGACAGAATCTACAAATAGCAAGTATTGTTTTCTGACTGAATAAATTATCTGTTTTGAAATCATCTTTATTTGAGTTTATCTGCCTGTGATTGGATCATAATGGCATTTTGATTCATGATCAGAGCAGGGTCTTTGGGGGGAATTTATATCGATTGGGAGATGTCCCAACTCTCCTTGCAGAAGGTTTGAGTGCCCTTCATTTGTTCCTTTCATTCTCCAGGTGTTCATTCCTTTGCTGAGGAAGGCAGCTCAAGGAAGTCCCCTGAAAGGCATGAGCTGCAGCAAAGCGGCCATTGTCAACATTTCCAGTGAAGCAGGTTCCATCACAAATGTCCTTGAATGGCAGCGGGGCCATGTCATTGCTTATCGCTGTAGTAAGGTACAGATGAACTCATGATCAAAGAATGTAAAAGTCAATTCTGTTTTTATCACAAGTAGGAGAAGAGCACATTTGAATGGTCTGGCATCCTTGAGAACTTAGATCAGTGATGGTGAACCTTTTAGAGACCGAGTGCCCAAACTGCAACCCAAAACCCACTTATGCATCGTCGAGTGCCGGGTGGGTGTGGCCCATTGGGTGGGTGTGGCTGCGGTGGTAACAGCAGACTGGGTGGGACTAAAAAGTTCAATCAATCAATTCCAACTTTGCAAGATCTTTTTTTTCCCCACGAGATTGAAATTGATTGATTGATTGAACCTTTTTTTTTTGCACACGGCAGTGGAGGCCTAAAGCGAAAAGGTTTTATAAAACCCAGCTGAAGGCCTAGGATTGGGGCGATGGTGTGCGTGCCCAGAGAGGGCTCTGAGTGCCGCCTCTGGCACCCGTGCCATAGGTTCGCCAACACTTACTTAGATGAAGCATTCATTTATCTTCCCCTTCCTCTCTTCCTCACAGTGTGCTCTGAATATGCTCTCTAAATGCCAGTCCTTGCATCTTGCCAAAGATGAGATTTTGTGTGTTGCGTTGCACCCTGGATGGGTACAGACTGACATGGGAAATGTAATGGTAAGCGAATTGGAGAAAAAAAAACCACCTAAATTTTATACAATAAAAATAAACATGGACAAAGTTATCTGTACTAGAAATGGAATGTTCAAAAAAACAAAAAACCCTCCAGATTATGCTGAATCTTTTCCTGGATTTTGCCATTCCAGGAATGGTCCAGCAGTTTTGGGAAGTAATTTTGTCTAAACAATTTCAGGAAGTAGCGCTTGAGTTTTTCTTGAGATAGTCTTATTTTAACTCGGTCTTTGTCTGAAATAATATGTAGCAAATGCCATGAAACACTTCCCCTTTGATAGATTCGAATTCTAGAAACAGCCAGATGGTCCCTGGAATCTTGGGGTCTCAGAAGAGGTTCAATATGGTCCTGAAGGAATATGAACATTTCTGTGATCACCAGAATATTACATTTCTGGATCAACTTTCTACATCACTATCAGTGAATTTATGTTAGCTGCTATTGGATAGGGTTTTTTAAATTAGACATCCTTAATTGGTTCCAGGAGGCACGATGAATATCAAAAATGATGAGTACCAAACAATTTTTTTCCACAAGGAATAATGTAGTGAGTCACAAGACAGCAAACATTGACAAGTTCTAATTTGTGCATTGAGTACCAAACAAACAATGAATACACGGACAAAATGTTCATCTCAAAATGCATTGAGAATCAAATTCGATCAGTTTCAAAGCAGTTGAGTACCAAGGTACCACTGTATTCATTGTATATAGAATATATCATTTCTGTCAGGAAATGGGTAGAAACCTAAGGTTTCTGCTTTATGGAACACACTGAACAAAAAATGAGTCATGTGAAATTGAGTCTCTTCAACTCCTTCAAGTGGTTCTTTATGATACAGTGGCCAATTCTTTCAAAATGGGCCAATTTATTTATACATTAAATTTATATGTTGCCCCTCTCACCAACAAGGCAACTCAGTTGGGTCATGAGTAGTTCTGTTAATTATGAAGGTGACGTAAAAGCATACCTGTTAAATAATTTTGTGATAATTTTGAAAAATTAAACAGGACTCTCCTTTCCAAACCCTACTCTGGTTTCACTTCAGCAAGACTTGTTCTTTGATATAATTTCTTATCTAGTAATATCTTATTGCTGATACAACTTGGAAATATACCGTATTAAACCACTGCCTTGAATTCTCTCAGCTGATGTTACTAGGCCTTTAGGTTATTTTCACTATCAACATCTTTCATCCCTTGCCTCTTCTTTTTCCAGGGAACACCCCCACTGACAATGGAGCAGAGTTTGCAAGCTATTCTGAACACCCTTGGCCGTCTCTCTGAGAAAAATACTGGCACATTTGTGAACTGGGAAGGGAATCTTGTTCCCCTGTGAGACAATCAAGATTCTGTTCTCATTAAAGGCAATGCAGATTTCCATCTTCAGTGCTTATTATATCCTGCTCTGCTGCATGTGCTCCAAGTCTCCCTTGCTTCAGTTAATCTGTCTGGTGCCCATAAAACCTTGCTCAGCCAGGCTCTTTCAGGCCGTAGGTCCCAATGATTGGTCTGAATACTTCTGGATGGCAGCAGTTGCAAAGCAGCCATTTTGTACTGGAGAATTTTCTTCCAGATCTCTAGAATCTAAAGCAATATTGAAGCCCAAGAGGATGACATTTTCCCCAACTCCACATCGGGGGAAAATGAGTCTAGACGTAAACTGTAGTTCTCTTGCAAAAAGGCCATCTGGAACATTTTATAGTTTTAATATGTTAATCGATTTTTAAGCCTGCTATGCATGAAATAAAACTGATTGAAACCGTTTTGTTAGCAATAAACTGTCAATTTATTAGCGGTATTGGCCAAGGACGGGAGCAACCAGTTGTGGTCTTGAACTTTGAGATATTCACAAGGGATTTGTTGGGGGGGTCCCCAAAAAAAGACTTGAGATTTATAACCAATGACTTATCTATGAATTCTGATGAATCTGATTCTTTTCTCAATTTCCTCAAGTCATTGCATAGATGAAAGGAAAAAAATAAAAAGTTCTCTTTTTGTATAAAGAAGCCAATTGTTCTAGTCTATCCTTTCCCCACTCTGAGTTTCTGGAAGAAGCTAGCTAGAGAAGATTCTCGCTTTTGGTCAGTGGAGAGATTGCTTCATCTTGATTGGGAATCCCATTTTCTTTAAGTGAACGAGCTTCAATCAACTTTTACCAGATGCTTTGGCAATATTGCTGAGCCTGAAGTTCATGCCTCATGCATTTTCATCAGGCTGGCAAGATATCTTCTCTCATATCACTTTCCATTTTGTTCCCTTCTTTGCTCCCCCAGGCTGAGAATGACATTATGCCATTTGAATATTTTGAAGGCGAGACAGTGAGAGGTGTGTGAAAACTACACATAGCCCTCGGCTTACACCCATTCATTTAGTGATTGTTTGAAGTTACGACGGCACTCACAAACGTGATTTATAACCATTTTTCACACTTGCAACATTTCCATGGTCACGTGATCAAAATTCAGACACTTGGCAACTGGCATGTATTTGAGACAGTTGCGGTGTCTAGGGTCATATGATCTCTTTTTGTGACCGTCTGACAAGCAAAGTGAATGGGGAAGCCAGATTCACTTTACAACTGTGTTATTAACTTAATAACTGCAGTGATTCACCTAACGACAGTGGCAAGAACGGTCATGAAATGGGGCAAAACTTACTTAACAACTGTCTCACTTAGCAATGGAAATTTTGGGTTCAATTGTGGTCATAAATAGGACTACCTGCACACCAGTATAATCTGGAGGGTTTAGCTGCTTAAAGAGGCACACCAGACAAATAGAGAATGTTCAAGAGAATAGCTTGATAATACTTTTTTTTTCATACTTGGTAAATGTCTACAATATTAATTACACAAATGTGCATTTATTTACACTCATGCCGATTCTATGAAATTGCACAGAGCAACCTTTTTGTTCTCTCATTAAAAAAAAAGTATGAATCATAGTAAAGAGCAACAACAATCACTGGCTACTAAGCGTTCAACTTAATAAACTGTTGGCATAAGCTTACACAATACTCACAATATCAGGTTTACCTGCCAAATCTGAATACATAATTGGTTTTAGCTCCATGTGTCTATGCTTGTTCTGAATACATAGACATGTTTGATCTTCCATCCTTTGAGCTTCTAGAAATAGAGGTGAAAAGAGGTGAACCACGAATCCAGCCCCCTGCTCAAGCAGGAGAACCTATATAATCTCAGACAGGTGATTGTCCAGTCTCTTCTTAAAAATTTCCAGCGATGGGAGCGCCCCAAAATAAGAGTAACACACACACACACACAAAAAAAAGAAACATTTTCTTTGAAGATGTTTCACTTCTCATCCAAGAAGCTTCTTCAGCCCTTATATTCTTCAGAATATAAATCCTTCCGTTCCCCACCATCCAGTCAGAAGCTGAAGAAGCTTCTTGGATGAGAAGCAAAACGTCTTCAAAGAAAATCAAGAAAGTCTAGTTGCCTCTTGAAAAAGCACCTTTGGGGCTCCCATCCATGATTTATTGTCTTGTCCTCAGGTGCTTTGGAGAAAAGCTTGAGCCCCCCCCCTCAGCTTATTTGTGGGAGCCCCTCAGATACTGGAAAGCTGCTTCCCTGTCACCCCTTGTCCTTCTTTTCCTTAAAGCAAGGGGTCTTCAAACTTGGCCCTTTTAGGACTTGTGGACTTCAACTCCCAGAATTCCTCAGCCAGCATGGCTGGCTGAGGAATTCTGGGAGTTGAAGTCCACAAGTCCTAAAAGGGCCAAGTTTGAAGACCCCTGCCTTAAAGGGCCGTTTTGAACTTGTCAGAAGAATTAAAAGACAAGGAGATGTCAGAATTTTATGAAATTTGGAATAAATGTTATAATTGGCTAGAACAGAGAAAGAAAAAGACATAATTATTGATGTACATAAAATGTAAAGAAGATGTAAAGAATATTAAAATGTAAAGCACTGTTCTGTTAGAAGAAAAGATTTATGTTTATGTAGTTTTTGGTGTATGGTGTATAGTGAAAAATAAAAAAATAAAATAAAAAAAAAGAAGAGCCTGCTGAAGTCCCAAGCCCTACACTGCCGTCTCTTGCCAAAGCTTCAGCGCCAAGCCCTCTGCTTAACACTCACAGCATGACAAATCGGTTTTATTTTACCTCAGAGACAAGTAAACATTCTTGAAGGGCCTTCACCAGGGAAAATATCCCTGAAGAGGGAGGCAAAAAAAAACCGCCCAGGAGAGACAAGCCGAGTTTAGGTGACATTTTTTTAACCAGGAACGGGGCAAGCATCTCGGCTTCCTCGCGGCGGTCACGTGTCCAGGAGACGCGGCCACGTGACAGGCATGCGCCGCCTCCCGAGCGCCCGATTGGAGGTCACGTGATCGGGAGACGCCCGGATACTGTAAGAGTCGAACCCGCGCCGGTTGCCAAGCGTTCGAATCGCGACCACGTGACTGCGGGGAACGCTCAGGAGTGCTGCGGCTTCCAAGGCGGGTCGTAAATCACCTTTTGTTTTTTCCAGCACTGTCGTAATTTTGAATATTCGTGTTGTCTGTATTCGTCTCTATTTTGTTCCTTCTTCTTCTTCTTCTTCTTCTTCTTCTTCTTCTTCTTCTTCTTCTTCTTCTTGTTGTTGTTGTTGTTGTTGTTGTTGTTGTTGTTGTTGTTATTGTTATTGTTGTTATTATTGTTTGTTATTTATTGTTATTGTTATTGCAAGGTTGTCTCTTTTTCTTGGAAAACTATATTGTAAGTGTCTTGGCTTGCTTTGCTGTGTGGTACGTTGTATATAACTTCTGTTTTCCGAAGTTGGGCGCCTTGTTATTATCTTAGTTTTCTTTCCGTTGATTTTATACAGGCAGTCCTCCACTCAGTGCTTTTTTTCTAAAAAAAAAAAAAGGTGTCAGAACTCATACACGTCATACAACTCGCCTTGCCTACCCTACAAGATTCCATCCAAAAAAGGTGCCAGAACTCCGTTCTGGGCATTCTATGAGAAAAAAAGCCCTGCCTCCACTTATAACAGTTTGTTTAGTGACCGAAGTTACAGCAGCACTGAAAAAAGTGACTCATGAGTGTTGCCGCATCCCCGTGGTCACGTGATCAAAATTCAGACACTTAGCCACTGACTCATATTTATGACAGCTGCAGTGTCCCAGGGCCATGGGATCACCTTTTGTGACAAGCAAAGTCTTAAGTGAATCTAGATTCACTTAACAACCGTGTTATTAACTTAACAAGTGCAGTGATTCACTTAACAACAGCGGCAAGAAAGGTTGTAAAATGGGGCCAAACTAACTTAACAAATGTCTTGCTTAGCCACAGAAATTTTGGGCTTAATTGTGGTCGTAAAGCTGAGGATTATCTGCATTAGAAAAAAAACAGCCAAACTCTGGTTATCTTCACCAACTGAGATATAGATCTTCGTGATTTCATAATTCTTAGTACTAATAATCTGTGCAAGAGTCCCTCTTGTATTTCTTTTTCAGTTTTGATCCTAATTATCTGTTTATTTTTTTTTCTGATCCTGTTGCCCAAGTCTTCGAGGGCAATTACAAATAGCAATGGAAAGAGTGCCACACCCTTGCCTTGAGGCTTTGCTAATTGAAAAGCTTGCAAAAAGTGTTTGGCTTTGATTGCTGGTATCCAAGCTGAAACTTGGCATGTTCCAGCGTTTGTTAAACATAATGTTGTAGGTTGATATTTGTGCTGTATATACCATGTTCAAATGTGTGTTTTGCTTAAGGTTGAAGAAGGAGAATATAATTGGGAGAAGGGAAGATCAAAGAAATATATTATTAATATATTGTTAATTAATATACTAATTATGGAATTATCAAAATCAATTATTATTGACTGTTAATTAATTATTTTTTTTTTTTCAAATATATAAACCAAGACAAGATGCTGCACACCAGGCACTGGAGAGTGTTATTGTAAAAAAACCAATAAAATATTTTTTTAAAAAAATTAAATAAAATGGCTGAGGTCTTTTCCAGCAATTTTAATTCCAACTCCTCTTGCTTCTGTTTTAACATTTACCATGACATGTTTTTATTTATGATACAGCATGCCCTCAAACAGTCCATCCAATCCTTCTGTAGGTGAATGTGGCTTGACAGTGAGATTGGCAGCATATAAATTTAATAAATAAACAAATAAACCTTAACAGCATCATCCTGCAAATTTTTACTCCAAAATAGGGATTATTTTTAGTGATTTAGATTGCTCACATGAACTTTAATGCATCTCCAGAAAGAAGATTGGATAATGTTTGTCTTACCAATACTATCTTATTAGTTGCTGCCATTTCTGGAATTAAAATGTACAGTACAGTTCACGTCTATGGCTTCAGGTATATACAGTATGCTGGTTTAGGTTACATTGAATATTTTCACTCACAGCTTTACACCTGTAATACAAGTGATCCTGCCTTTGTGTTATATTCTGGCAGGATAAAGCGCACCAGTCTTATTGTATGGTTAAGTAAAAAGGTTAAGAAATGGTGGAAAGTATTTGTAGCTCCGGTGTTAGGTAGCCGGACCAACCAACGATGGCGTCAACCACCAGATGACCCTCACAAGGTGTGACCAGGTGATCACATGACCAACTAACCACATAAGACCTATAAAAGCAGAAGGGAAGTGAATCGAGACACTTCAACTGAAGTTCCGCTGCTGATGGTACCTAGCCTGGTGACCAAACATTTGGAAACTGAACAAGAAGTTCGGAGAACAAACCATCACCAAAAGTAAAGGAACGGGAGCTTACCCTGTTATGCGGTGCTCGAGTCTCAAACCTGGGCTGTCCGCTCTCCAGCGGACAAGCTCAGCGTATCACAGTTCCGACAGATGAAACTCTTCAAAAGAACTTTGAGGCATTGTTTACCTTAAAGGATCTTTAATTCAAGTAGCATAATATTGGCACTACATAATCGAAACACAATTCTCCTCCCCTGGGCACATAGTATCAAAGCACAATTCCCTCCTCCAATTAATAGTCATAAATCACATTCCCCAATTAGCTTGAAGCACGGGCTTTCTCCCCAGCTTTCCAGTCCGTCAATTCTTTATCAGCTCTGTGCTCAATAACCTTGATTCTCACACTAAGTTTAGTGTTGTTATGTCTAGCTGGACTCTCATTCACATTCTCCCCCCTCCCAGCATCATCTAACTCTAAAAGCAAAAGGGAAAAAGATGGCTACATTTTTGTCTGTTGTCAACGCAAAACATCCAATGTTAGCAGCGTTGACACAGCGTCTGTAACCATTGAGCCATTGTGCCCCATATGATCAAATACTTTGGTCTATTATCTATATAAGAGTCCGAACGAATGATGTAATGGTAAGATAACGTGCCTTACAGTAAATGCAATAGCAATAGCAGGCAGCCATTAGCCTGTTCATCCATTTAGCAGCAGAGTCGCATATAAACATGTTTAGCATCACGTTAAGTGCCCATAATCTCATTTTTAAATTCCAGTTGCCTGTAGAATTTTTAGCTGGATCCCAAGCTTTGCCCAAGCAGATGGTTGTGAAAATGAAGAAATGGCATATTTATATCATGTTCATTATATGTTGCATATTTCCAAATATATATTATCTCTGCACAGGAAGAGTTATGGCCCAAGCCATGATTTGGTGTGTGTATAACCTTTTTGAATATGTCCTTTTTAAGCCAGCTTAAGCCAGTTAATGACATAGCACTTTTGTTCGTTAAAGGGATTCCTTCTCAAACAGGGAAACTTCCGCGTGATTAGTTCAGTTGCAGATATTCTACATTTGATAACATTTCTTAAGAAATGATTTAGAATCCTGAGGTGAAAGGATTTTAAACCCCAAGTCACCAATTGTGTGAGTCCCTCTTTAAATTGCAGTCAACAATAGCTCATTCAAGGGCAAGTGATATTTGTTGCAAGTTACTTCTTTGGGTCCATCCTAAATCTCTAGCTAGTCAGCTTTCTTGAGTAACATAAACCACTTGAGTAAGATAAACCAATAATTCACTTTCCGTTATCCAGAACACACGATGGTTTGTCTTCAGGTTACCATTTTTATATCGCCACACACCCCCCCCCAATGCTATTTTATTTTATTTATTTTATTTATTAATTCAGTTTACAGATAGTCCTTGACTTACAACCACAATTGAGCCCCAGATTTTTGTGGCTAAGCAAGACAGTGGTTAAGTGAACATTGCCCCATTTTACGACCTTTCTTGCCACAGTTGTTAAGTGAATCACTGCAATTGTTGAGCTGGTACAGGGGTATGCAACCTTGGCCTTTTATGACTCGTGGACTTCAACTCCCAGAATTCCTGAGCCAGCCATGCTGAGGAGAAAGGGAGAGGTTTCCAAGCTGAGCCATGCTGGCTCAGGAATTCTGGGAGTTGAAGTCCACGAGTCATAAAAGAGCCAAGGTTGCATACCCCTGAGCTAGTAGCAAGGAATCTGGCTTCCCCATTGATTTTTGCTTGTCAGAAGATCGCAAAAGGGGATCACGTGACCCCGGGACACTATGACCATCATAAATATGAATTAGTTGCCAAGCATCCAAATGTAAATCACATGAAGAGAGGGATGCTGCAACGGTCGTAATCTGAAAAAACAGTCATAAGTCACTTTTTTCAGTCCTGTAGTAACTTCAGACAGTCACTAAATGAATTGTTGTAAGTCAAGGGCTACCTGTATACACCACCCATCTCGCTACCCAAAGTGACTCTGGGCGGCTTGCAATAGAAGAAAAGCAGAAATATAAAAACATTAACATTAACAGGAATTATATAAAACTAATAACCGGGTATACACGAAGTGAGATCTTCTCTCTTACTCAGCCAGCATAAAAGACTCCCAATTGGGCCCAAAACCAGTTGGCAAGAGGGATTTTATTGTTTTAAGGAACATTACAAATCAAAACTCTTTTATTGTGGCCAATCTTCAGGGCTCTTCAGGGCTTCTTCTTAAAAGGCAGGCTAACTGAAAGTTGCTGGATTACCAAGGAAGAGATTTTCCATCCGAGTTCACAAAAGTGCCCGTTTCTTTCTCGGAGAGATGGCCAAGTGTTTTAAGAATTTCTCGTACACCATCCTCAACTGTAGTTGGGGCTGTCAACTAGAAAGAAAGAAAAGAAAAGAAAAAATAGAAAGAGAAAGAAAGAAAGAAAGAAAGAAAGAAAGAAAGAAAGAAAGAAAGAAAGAAAGAATGAAATATGCCAACAATTTCCCTAATTTATTTGCAAATTCAATTTTTTTGTATTTTGCATAATTTATTTTTACCTCCCTTTCTCTTACTGTCAACAAAGGCAACTGAGGTTGTAAAAATTTAATTGGTTGTGAAATAACTTTTTTTCATTCTTTTTTTTCATTTTTATCTGAGGCGATTGCATACTTAATGGACTGTTCAACATCTTGTGTTAAAAAAAAAATATCCTAACCAAGTCTAATGAACAGAGAACAAAATGTATTGCCACAAAATATATTCCTAGCTACCGACTTTAAAAAAAAACACGAATTGAAATATATGATATATTTTTTTGTAGGACTTTCTTGTCCTGTAACACTTTATTGCTAAATTCATGACAATAAAAGCCAACAGTGTTAAATGATAAAATGGCTTTCCTGATATCAAAGAAAGAATGTTACTTCATTAAATTGGTTTTTTTTCCCCCTCCCTGGTTCAACTAAGCTGCAAGAACAATCCCAAGACTTTTTTCCCTAGCTGTTAAAAAAAAAAACACGTTTGAAAAGCCAGAAAGTGAATTAATGTAATACCATGTTAACATATCAGCTCATATACAGTAGATCAGGGTCGCCAACCTTGGCAACTTTAAGACTTTGTGGGCTTCAATTCCCGGAATTCCTCAGGTTGAGTTAAAATCCACAAATCTTAAAGTTGTCAAGGTTGAAGATCCTTGCAGTAGACGCAGTGATGGGATTCAGCCGGTTTGCACCAGTTCGGCAGAACCGCTAGCTAATTTTTTGTTGCCCAGGCCCAGAACAGACTTCTGGAAGCGGCATCCACACAGAGAACCGGTTGTTCACATATATTTGAATCCCACCACTGGGTAGATGTATTAATTTCATGGGGAGAGAGATTCTGCTCCAAGCCACTTACGTTTTCAGTTCCTTGTCCCATATCTGTCTGCAGCCATCCAGGGTGCAATACAACACACAGGATCTCATCTTTGGCATATTGCAGAGACTGGCATCGGTTGAGCATGTTTAAAGCAGCCTAGAAGAGGGGCATTGTAGAAACAGGAAAATGAGTGGCACATCCTAGTCCTGCACAGAATATTGTAGATTGTACTGCAGCTGCTAATCCTAGGCTGCATTAACAGAGGGGAAGAATCAAGATCAGGCGAAGGGTTAGTACCACTTTATGATACCTTGGTAAGGCCACACTTGGAATAGTCCTCGACTTACAACAATTCTTTTGGAGAATAGGCTGAACCCCTCTTCTTTGTGACAGCCCCTTAGATATTGGAACACTGCTATCATGTCACTACTAGTCCTTTTTATCAGACTAGAATAGAATAGAACTGGAAGGGACCAGCATGTCTCCGATGACCCCAATTCACGATGTAGAAGTGGTATGGAGGAAGCATCAATTTCTCACTGTTCTGACAACCAGAATTAAACTGCGTTGTAAAACTGGGTCAGACAGATAAACTCAATAGAAATTATTTTAAAACAGACATATATTTATTCAGAGGAAATACTTGCATTTGTGTTGGTTGCTTCTGGACAACACATCTCTGTTCATTCCCATAGGTGAGAAATTAATGCTTCCTCCATACCACTTCTACATCGTGAATTGGGGTCATTGGAGACATGCTGGTGACCCCATGCTTTCTGAGACAAAAGACATTCCAAACTGGCTTGTGTCCAGGAAATCCTGTGATGAACTCAGTAACTCCTCCCACATACCTGATAACATGAGATAGCTGACTAGCTAAACTACATTTCCCATAAGCCATCTCTTAAGGAGACAGCACTTAACCTTCTAACATACAGAAATACATGGTCCAGAACAGGCAATGACCAAGTCTTCTCCAAACCTTGCTGCAGCGATAGTTGGGAACTTGTCCCATATCCCATCCCAGAACATTGGTGATGGAGCCGCAGTCACTGGATATGTTAACAATTGCAGCTTTGCTGCAGCTCATTCCTTTCAGGACACTTTTCTGGGATGCCTTCTTCAGCAAAGGTAGGAAGACCTGAAAAAGAAGAGGCAAAAAATTAAAAACAGCGGCACGCTATTGCCGGATATGGAAAGCTCACTCTGGGAATCTGCAAATGATAGTCCGGAAATTATTCATCAAAGACTGTCTTGTACTTTTATAAGTCAGAGCTGAAGAAGCTTCTTTTGGATGAGAAGCGAAACGTCTTCAAAGAAAAACAAGAAAGGCCAGTGATCTCGTGAAAAAGCACCTTTGGGTCATAAGTCACATTTTTCAATGCTGCTGTAACTTTGAACGCTCACTAAATGAACTGTTGTAAGTCGAGGACTTCCTGCATTAGGGACATTCTGAGTTCTGTATTGGAGAGATATATTGTTTTGGACATTCTTTTATTCTAGGTCTTTTTTTTGGGGGGGGGGAGGACTAATTAGACATGATGTTGTGGCAGATTGAGTTTCAATATACTCCCTATGTCCTAGAATAAAGTGAAAGAGCCGTGGTGGCGCAGTGGTTAGAATGCAGTATTGCAGCAAACTCTGCCACTGCCAGGAGTTCGACCCTGACCGGCTCAGTATTGACTTAGCCTTCCATTCTTCGGTAAAATGAGGACCAAGATTGTTGGAGGGCAATATGCCGACACTGTAAACCGCTTAGAGAGTGCTATAAAGCACTGCGAGGTGGTATATAAGTGCTATTGCTAAGTAAGACCTAGTCAAAAGGAGAGATCTCCTACCTGGCCCATCACCATGGGACCAATGACATTGGTTTTGTACACCTCTGACATGTTTTCTGGTGTCTCTGATTCCAGAGAGGATGGCTTTACTATTCCAGCATTGTTGAACAACAGATTCAACCCAGCTCCGTGTAGACGTTCGGTAATTGTGGCTGCAGCAGCTTGGATGCTGGATGGATCAGAAGTGTCTAAAACAGAGATGAGAAAGATTTTTTAAGTGATGCAAATCCCTAGTCATGAAGTAACACTGCTGTCACCCAGCAAGACACCTAACTGGCTTTTTTATATATCAGAATTCTATATGCATTAGAAAAGCATTTCTCAACCTCACCTGACAGGTCTCACCTGGATCGTTTGCACCTCCCAAGAAGATGCTATCATTTTCAGAATGGCAAGATATAGTTGCAAAAGACAGAGCAGGAGAATCAGAACAATAGTTTTGGGGGACTTTTATGAAAATAGAGCTTTCTATACTTTCCAAAAGGATGCTTTGATTGAAGAACTACAGAATGTTCACTTCACTGCATTTCTCATTCTCTCTCTTGTTTATTTTTTTGTTGTTGTTGCATTCAGGCTTACTGAAATATGTCTTTGTTAAGGTGTTTGAGAAAACGAACTGTGGTTGAAGATGTTGCAAATTTCTTATAACCCAGCATGAAGGACCAAAGGACCAACCCAGCATTCTAAAATGCTTGTTATTGTTGCACACCTTGAGATCCTTTGTCCTCCACATTCCTTATTCAGTCCTATCCTATTACAGTAACCTGTGGCTTATTTTTTTTAAATATTATTATGCAAGTGTTAATTGCTTATGCACAATCTTATCTAGCTTAAAATCTCAGAATGACAGAGAACAAATAAATTGCTTCATTTTTCAGCTGTTTTGGCAGAAATAGATCTGGATGTTTTGGCAGAAATAGATCTGAAAGGAGAAACCACCAGATCTTTACAATCCCATTACGAGGATTGTAATCAGAGCAACAGACCCATGAAGCAGGCGAAACAAATTCCTGCAGTAAATACAAGACAGATGTGCCTCAATATGTCTACAAATAGTCCTTGACTTACCACGGGTTCATTTAGTAACCGTTCAAAGTTACAACAGCACTGAAAAAAGTGACTCATGGCCAGTTTTCACACTTACGGCCGTAGTAGCATCCCCACAGTGACGTGATCAAAATTCAGAGGCTTGGCAACTGACTGACTCATATTTATGACAGTTGCAATGTCCCGGGGATCTGGGAGTTCATTTTTGGCAACTTTCTGACAAGCAAAATCAATGGGGAGGCCAGATTCGTTGAACAACAGTTTGACTAATTTAACAATTACAGTGATTTGGGACAAAGTCACTTAACAATCCTTAGCAACAGAAATTTTGGGCTGAGTCGTGGGCTACCCATACTTCCGTCTCACAAAAGCCCCCCCCCCTATAATCCCCATGCAAGTCAGCTCTTAGCCCATAAGAACTGGAGTGAGGGGTCAACCAGCGATCCTCCAGACGCTGCTGAGCCCACCAGTGGGTGGCTCTCAAACGCAGGAGGAAGGACAATATTAATAAATGCTGAGAGTTAGGAGGCAGCAATAGCTGAAGGGCTGTATGTTGCCCTGTTTGAAAGCCAGGGGAGGAACTAGGAACTCACCAAGCTGGATGACTTCTATTCGGTGCTGGTGCTGGGCAGCCAGGTTCTTCAAGCTCTGAAAGATACAAATGTGAGAAGCTTTTGAGGTTGGTGAAGAATGTGAGGCTGAGCAGAAAGAAAAGCAGGAGGCAGGAGTTAAATTATTTGCAGAAGGGAAGAGAATGTTTGCAGGAGATTTCCATCTCAAGCCCTTTCCCACGCAAAGGCACACTTTGCTTCTCATTAGAGCAAAGTTACTCATCCCAGTTGATTCCTTCCAGGGCTCACCTTTGCACGGGGACCCTCTGGGTCACGGCAAGTGGCAAAGATCCGTTCTGGGGGGTTGCTTTTCCCCACCAGTTGCTTCACCAGCTCCAGGCCGATGCCCCGATTAGATCCCGTCACCAGGACACTGCGTGGATTCAGCACTTCCATCTGCTTTGGTAGTTGGACTCCAACTGGAAAAGTTTTGCAACTTGAGTTCAGTGAATCAGGTTTTTGTCTCTGTCATCTGCCTTGGCTTCCAGAAACGGTTCCTCTTCTCTGCAGTTCTGCTGCCTATATTGAGCAGACCTTTAGAAGGTAACTGCCCACACCTCATACGCAAAGGAAGATAAGTGGCTTAAAAAACGGCTGTTGCTTAGCGAGGGAGGAGATTGGAGAGAAGACCGTGTGTGTGTGTGTGTGTGCATTTGTGTGTGTGTGTGTGTGTGTTGGAAGGAAGGAAGGAAAGAAGAAAAAAAGGAAAGAAAGAAAGAAAGAGTATGGAAGGAAAGAAGGAAGGAGGAAGGAAGAAAGAAAGAAAGAAAGAAAGAAAGAAAGAAAGAAAGAAGAGAGAGAAAGAGAGTATGAAGGAAAGAAGAAAGGAAGGAAGGAAGGAAAGAAAGAAAGAAAGAAAAAGAAAGAAAGAAAGAAAGGAAGGAAGGAAGAAAGAAAGAAAGGAAGGAGAGAGAAAGAGAGTATGGAAGGAAAGAAGAAAGGAAGGAAGGAAGAAGAAAGGAAAGAAAGAAAGAAAGAAAGAAAGAGAGTATGGAAGGAAAGAAGAAAGGAAGGAAGGAAGAAGAAAGGAAAGAAAGAAAGAAAGAAAGAAAGAAAGAAAGAAAGAAAGAAAGAAAGAAAGGGAGAGTATGAGAGGGAAGGAGGAAAGGAGGGAGAGAGGAAGGAAGCAAAAGAGACAGAGAAAGAGAGAGTATGGAAGGAAGAAAAAGAAAGAAAGGAAAAAAGAAAGAAAGGAAAAGAAAGGGAGAGAAAGGAAGGGTGATCTTCAAATGTAGCTTGGAACAACTGAGTATTCTTTTAAAAGACATAATATTCTTCTGAGTATGATGGAGGATACCACTGACTGGATCACTGCTCAGTTTTTGCCACACACCCTCCAAACCAATGAATCAGGCAGTCAATGCAAGGTATGCATAGGGAGATGAGAATTTACTGCTGATTCCCTTCTTCTTCGTTCTCCTAAGCCGAAGGAGCGCTACAAAAAGGGCAAAGCACACGTCGGGACCCCATTTGCCCCCAGTTTGGGCATTTAGCCATACTGGGGATCAGGAAGGAGCACGGCTCATTCTCTGCCTATTCTGGCTAGATGGCTTAAGGGCAAAGTACAACTTAATGAAGCAGAGAATGTGCAGGCAGATATCTAAAAAAGGGACCCAACGTAATGCTGCCTCTGTCACAGAGCCGGTGATTTATTTTGCAGCTCACATCTTTTGTTTTCGCACCTGTGCTTTGTACCCAGCACCTCAGGCTAAGTTTCTGTGGTGGTGGTGGTGGTGGACCTCTAAAGGAGAACATCTGTAGCTCGGGATTGAAACTGAGGGGTCCTTGGTGCTCTCCGAGCTGGCTTGTTTTCTTGCCGACGCTGCATCACCAGCGCACGTCTGAAACGTTGGCAAGAAAACAAGCAAGCTCAGAGAGACCCCTCTACTACCTCTGCTTTCCAGAGCAGAGTTTTTAAGGTCTGCTCCAGCTTCCTCGAAATGGCTGCTGCCAAACTGGTATTTTCTCTTGGCGTCGTTGAAGCTGCAGCTGATCCAATTTCCTTGGCACTGCAGACCTGGAGTCAGGCTGATGCATTTTCCCCTGCCATGGCCTCATCCTGCCTTGCAATGTTGATTCTGCAGCCAGCCACGACCCTTTCCCTCGGTCCCCTAGAAACACCCGTCATCTTGCACTCTCATCACCTTTAGATATTATTTCACCTAATCCAGCTGTCATGGCAACATGTCATTATAGTCTGGGCTAGACTGGCAAACAGTCCCTCTTTACAAAATCACCTTATGCTCACATTTCCCTTGCATAGATCTATGGCGCTTTTAAATGCAACAGCAGAGCGGTGACCAAGCAGCTAGAACAGTGGTTCTCAACCTTTTTAATGCCGTGATCCCAACCGGTCGTAAGTCGAGGACTAAACCAGTCGTAAGTCGAGGACTAAACCGGTCGTAAGTCGAGGACTACCCAACCGGTCATAAGTCGAGGACTTTCCCTGCCCGGGGAGCGCCGCGCCTTTTACTGCCTCCCTTTATTTGTTGTTGTTAGTTGCGAAGTCGTGTCCGACTCATCGCGACCCCATGGACAACGTTCCTCCAGGCCTTCCTGTCCTGTACCATCTTCTGGAGTCCATTGAAGCTCACGCCTGCTGCTTCAGTGACTCCGTCCAGCCACCTCTTTCTCTGTCGTCCCCTTCTTCTCTTGCCCTCAATCTTTCCCAGCATTAGGCCCTTCTCCAGTGAGTCCTTCCTTCTCATTTGGTGGCCAAAGTACTTGAGTTTCAACTTCAGGATCTGGCCTTCTAAAGAGCAGTCGGGGTTGATCTCCTCTAGGACTGACCGGTTTGATCGCCTTGCAGTCCAGGGAACTCGCAGGAGTCTTCTCCAGCCCCAGAGTTCAAAAGCCTCCATTCTTTGGCGCTCAGACTTTCTTATGGTCCAACTTTCACATCCATACATTGCAACTGGGAAAACCATGGCCTTGACTATACTCCCTTTATAGGGGAGTCTTTTTAGATATCTTCCACGGCACCAGGGAAAGATATTTTGTACACGTGGAAATCTTTAAGTCCATTGAAATGTCCCTGTTGTAAGAGGTTCATTTGTGATTACATACAAGAAAAAACATTTTTACACAATTTTTGGATAAATTTCACTCAGGTTTGGGAAGCAGTCTGCTAGAACAAAAGCCACCAGAGTTTATCCAACTACACCACCTGCTAATTTTGAACTCCCGTAGCCCTTGACTCTAACTGAGATTGCTCTTTGGATCAAAGAATCAGAAGTTTAGCTTTTGGCAGGAGAAAGAATTGGCAGAGTTGACCTTGTTAAAGATTAATTTTGTTTTATAGGCTGCTTTGGATGTGGTCACTGCCTGCCTCGCTGGGGAACTGAAAAAAAGATGGAATTTTATGCACTTCGATCATCCTGGCTGGGTGAAAACTGACATGGGAACCATTGCAGCTACAATGAAGTCATCATTCAGAAAGGGTTGCAAGAAAGAGATAATTATGTACCATGCAGTTCTTGTTGCAGCCTGTCATAAATGCACGGATTGTAGCTGAAAGGCAGTAAGGTTGTGCAAGTCAACCAGGCTGAGATAAAATAATCAATCAGAATAGGTGGAGGCTCAGTTGTGTAAATTCTGCACCGATAGACAACGATTCTACTTGCAGAAACAAGTTGCAGCGCCCTGGAGTCATGTAATCCCCTTTTGCAACCTTCTGACAAGCAAAGTCAAGGGGGAAGGCAGATTCACTTAACNACCATTTCGGACAAATGGCTGTCCAGTCTCTTCTTAAAAACTTCCAGTGTTGGAGCATTCACCGCTTCTGGAGGCAGGTTGTTCCACTGGTTAATTGTTCTAACTGTCAGGAAGTTTCTCCTTAGTTTTAGGTTGCTTCTCTCCTCGATTAGTTTCCATCCATTGCTTCTTGTCCTGCCTTCAGGTGCCTTGGAGAATAGCTTGACTCACTCTTCTTTGGGGCAACCCCTGAGATATTGGAACACTGCTATCATATCCCCCCTCGTCCTTCTCTTCATTAAACTAGACATGAATTGTATTTTTTAAAACTACTTTAAAGCCAGCTCCCTCCCTACCTACCTACCTGTCTCTCTCACACACACAAACAGAAACACACAAATCCATCAGACACTCCTCAAAATGCTGTCCTTTCTGGATGGTAACACTCTTGTTCCTTTCTCTTTTTTCCTCAAGGCACCTTTGACCGTTCGGAAGAGCGTGCAAGGTATTCTTAAAGAGTTGGCTAGTTTATCATCATCATCTGGGGGAAGATCTCTGGATTGGGAAGAGAACATGATCTCCCAGTGAGTCTTCCATGGACCACGAATACAGGAGGCCTTCAGAATTTGAATTTGCAAGAGGCAGAGCCTGAATTTTGAATTTTAACAATAGATTGTTTCAATTTGGTGCATTTTTTTCATATCTATCTATCTATGAGTGGAAGGAAGAGGAGATATATTGTACTAGTACATCATGAAACATGTCATGTTAACATCGGTGGCCCCGTGAAAGAGATCCAGAAAAGGAGGTTAAGACATTTCTACTGTTTTTATTGCAGTCTTTGGAAACTGAACATTCTCTGTCATATTTTGCAAAATGTTTTCATTTCTTTTCCCTTATCACCGTATGCCTGTAGGCGATAAATACTTGCTCGCACATTCTTTTTTTTTTTTTTTAATGTTTAAGGTCTTTAAAATGTGACTCTCTAACCTAACTGGTAATTTAAGCAGCAGGATTCATGCACGGAGAGCAAAATGTGGACTTAAGAGACTGGTGCTTGCCAAAAGAAAATTATAAGCCTAACAACAGTAATAACTTGATGGGTGATAAAAATGCCAAATCCAATCTAAACATCTGACAGTGGAACCAACCATAATAATAACAATCATTTACATCCTGCCACCCTTTAACGCCATCAAATAATAACATCTGCCTATCCCAGGTCCTTAGAATTCAATAGGTAGATAAAAGTGCCAAATCCAGTCTAAACATCTGACTGGTTGTACGACCAACCATGATTATAATAATAGTACTAATAGTAACAAGTGCCTTGGGTTCAGTTCCAAAACACCTGGAACACCATTTGAACACTATTAACACTGGGAAAATCAACTGTCAGTTGCAAAAGGCAGTTTTACTTGGAAAAGCTTACATCCCACGATGATTCTTCTAACACCATCGAACAACATCTGTTGATCCCAAGTCCTTGGAAAAGGATCGATAGGTGGACCAAAATGCCAAATCCAGTCTAACGTGGCGGATTATGCAAACCACCATAAAAACAATATAGCAAGTGAGTAAGAATATTTTTTTAAAAAAAAGAGCTGGAGAATACTTTGAGTTGTGTGATTTCCAGCAGAAGTAAGTCATATTTACATATCATAAACCACAACTAATTTAGAATTTAAGCCGATTCCGGCCAAGGACCTTATCTACAATACAAACAAGTTAAAAGCTGGAGTTCGTTCCCTGGTGAAAGTTTCCATCTCATTTGGTTGGTTAAACATATTTCTATAGTCCCGGGGTAGGCAACCTTGGCTCTTTTATGACTCGTGGACTTCAACTCCCAGAATTCCTGAGCCACCCATGCTGAGGAGAAAGAGAGAGTTTCCAAGCTGAGTCATGCTGGCTCAGGGAATTCTGAGAGTTGAAGTCCACGAGTCATAAAAGAGCCAAGTTTGAAGCCCCTGGTTTAAATATTTAAACATTTTTCCTCACAGTCACGTGATCAAAATTCAGGCATTTGGACAGGGGTAGGCAACCTTGGCTCTTTTATGACTCGTGGACTTCAACTCCCAGAATTCCTGAGCCAGCCACGCTGAGGGGAAAGGGAGAGATTTCCAAGCTGAGTCATGCTGGCTCAGGGAATTCTGAGAGTTGAAGTCCACGAGTCATAAAAGAGCCAAGGTTGCTTTACCCCTGTTCTATACCATCAAAATCAGAGCGACCCTGCCAATTTACAACAAATGCAATATAAATCATATACAATGCAAACTCTAGAAATACAACAGCGATACAAAAATAAAAAAAAAGATTGAAGAGGATGAGCATATCCAACTCCTTTTTTTCCTTTTTCTTGGAGGAAAGGACATGCACATCTCACCAAGGGAGCCTTTTGCCTTCCCAGTCAAGAAAGGCCCCGTTGGAGGCCGATGATAGATTGGCAAGCACATTGAGGATGCCTCGCACACTGTTCTGCACAGTCACAGGGGCCTGGGAGAGAAAGAGAGGCAGGGTTACTACCCTCGTGGAAGAAAGCTTGAATCCTGTACCCATTCATTCACCCATTCATTCTCCTTCTCTGGCTAAAACAACAGCAACAAACGGAGGGCTGCTACAGCCGCTGTATAGCATAGCGTTGTGTTTTTCAACCTGGGCAGCTTTAAAATGTGGGGACTTCAACTGCCAGAATTCTCCAGCCTGACTCGGCTGGCCCAGGGTTGAGATGTATACTGATGGTACCTGACTCCAAACTGATAGATGACCTCATCTAACATGATAGATGACGTCACCTAACATGTAGATGTCACCAGTCACACAAAAAGAACCATCGCAAAACGGTGCCGCCACCACCTCCAAGCCCCTGAAGCTGGTTCAAAAGGATATGATGGTCAATGGTGTGAAAAGCTGTTGAAGATCAAGGGGCAATGAGATGGATACACCACCCCATCTCAGCTCCAACAAGGGACCAAGGCTGTCTCTGTAGTAAACCCCGGCTCTCTTTCTTACATCCTTTAGGGGTACCTGCTCTGTTCCCATGTCTGTTTTCACCCAACCAGGATGGATCAGGGTACACAAGATCCCGTCTTCCTTTAGTTCCAACGCAAAGCAGACCGTCACCATGTTCAAAGCAGCCTGCAAAGAAAATCTTAAGATCAGCTTCTCACCCTTTTCTTTCTTTTGAAACCTTTCTGCTCTGATGCCCGGACCCAATCACAGAACCATTGCTGTCAAAAGCATTGACCAGACAAGAAAAACGGGTTTTATCCCTTTCAAATATTCTGGACTGTGACTCCCTAACCTCTGGATGCATTGGACAGGGTTGATGTGAATTGTAATCTCGAAGAACTAGAGGTGCTTAAAAGGGGAAAGGATTAAAGAATTAAAGAGTCCAGATGTGGAAGATTTAAAGGACAGAGAGGCAAAGATTTAAGCAACACGGGACTAGGGTAACCTGCAGCAGAATCCAAAATGTCAGCATGATGTCTACACAAACAGAGGTCTGCCCCTTTTTATATGTGTCACATTTGCAACACATTTTTAAAAAGGGTGGTCACTGATTATAAAGTGAATGGGCACCATCTGACAAACTCCCACCCAGATCCAGGGAAGATGGGCAGGATATAAGTTGAATGAATGAATGAATGAATGAATGAATGAATGAATGAATGAACGAACGAACGAACGAAATGTTCCCAATAGGAGCCAAGATCTGATTGACTGGACACATAAGTATGTTCTGCTGTCCCACCAGCTAATTCTTCTGAAGGAAAGGAATGACCTGACCTCTAAGGAAAACCTACCTTGCTGGCACGATAAGGATACATTGGTCCTTTCATGACTTCAAAGCCCCGTTCAATGGAGGCCAACTTGGAGGTTATATTGATGATGGCTGCCCTCTGACAGCTCATCTCCTTTATGGCTGCCTCTCCAGCTGCTTTCTTCAACAGGGGCAGAAATTCCTGAAGGAAACAAGATACATTAAGTTGTGAAATAAGAGCATGATGGCCCAGGAACTGAATGGCTAGTATCAACATCATTGATTTATCTCTAAGACATCACCATTGCTTTTGTTGGTTAAGGCTACCTTGGCTTCTGACTTTCTTTGGTCTCAGCGGCCCCATTCTTTCTTATTAGTTTCTTTCCCATCTCCTTAATCACACATTCAATTGAAAATCCCAGCAATCTTTACATTTCTGGGATCACTGATCCCATGTCAGTTTTAACTCTGAAGTTTCTGCATTCTACATAGCACCTTACAGAAGAGAAGAGAAGAGAAGAGAAGAGAAGAGAAGAGAAGAGAAGAGAAGAGAAGAGAAGAGAAGAGAAGAGAATTGTTTATTGGCCAAGTGTGACTGGACAACAAGGAATTTTCCCCTGCGCATAAGCTCTCAGTGTACATTCAAACAACAAAGTGATAGTCACAGATCATAAATCATAAGATTCATGATAGAATATGATAATGCGATAGGAAATGATAGGATAAGATTTATGACAGGATGGGAATCAGTAGTTCATCAGGCATTGCTAAACAACTCCAAACACCTGTCAGTGGTAATAAATATTGGGAGCTGTGATCCAACACCTCTTAAGAAGTTCATAAGTTCTCCAGTGTTGGTTTAATCTACCCTATTTCATAATATACGGGACCAAAGTCTTCATACTCTTGTTTCCTTCCCAGACAGGAGACAATGATTCTCTTACCTTAACCACAAGTATGGGCCCCACCACATTAGTGTTAAAAGCAGACAGCATCTCCTGCTGCTCCACAGTTTCCAGAGTGGCATAGGAGTTCACACCGGCATTATTGATCAGCAGGTTCAGACCTTTACCATGGAGAAGCGACTCAACCACTGAAGCAGCTGCCTTCACACTGGACTGATCCTCCACCTCTTCCATGAAAATACGAGAGAAATGGGATCCTTATCAGAGAAGCCAAAAGCTGGTGTGATACCTACAGGATTGTGGGTTGGCAATTTGGAAGGAACCAAATTTCAGGTAGCCCTAGCTTGTGCCTACATGACAGCATATACAGGCAGTCCTCGATTTACAATGATTTGTTTAGTGACCATTCAAAGTTACAGCAGCACTGAAAAAAAAGTGACTTGTCCCCATTTTTCACACTTAAGACCACTGCAGCATCCCCAGGGTCACGTGGTTAAAATTCAGACCCTTGGCAACTGACTCATATTTAGGACGGTTGCAGTGCCCTGAGAAGCAAAGTTAATGGAAGAGTCAGATTCGCTTAACGGCCATGTTACTAACTTAACAACTGCAGTGATTCACTTAACAACAGTGTTAAGAAAGGTCATAAAATGGGGCAAAACTCACTGAACGTCTGTCTTGCTTAGCAAAAAAAATTTTGGGCTCAAGTGTGATAGTAAGGCAAGGATTACCTCTACTGGGATACAAACATTTTAAAGCTAAAACGCACATAGGGCACTGTCAAACTGTCCATAGTCCATGCAGATTTCCCAGTGGGTTTTTAAAAAGAGGGAGGCCAAATTAGAATAGGGGAAAAATGGAACGCTCTCATACCTAGCTGAATGATGTGAATGTTGGAATGCTTGCTGGCAAGTTCATCCAAGATCTGGAATTAAAGAGAATAAGACAAGAGAAGAGAAGACGATCCAAGGAACAATGGAAAACTTTTCTTTCCTATCCCTGAGTCCTTTTTAGCCCTGAAATCCATAAATCACCAGTTCATTTTTTTTTTCTTGGTTCAGCAAAAAGTTTCAAAAAATTCAAAAGTTCAAAACCAGGACTCTATTTCTGAAAACAGTTCGTGCTGGATGCCTGCTTGTTGTGAAAATAAATAAATAAAAAGGTTTTATCTAGGTTTTCTCTTTCTGTTCCTGTTCTATATCTCATGTCAGTGAATGTGCACTGATGGGATTTTAAAACATGTCGAGACAGGCAGGCTTTTAAGAGTGGCAAAGCTTCTAAATTTGCTTTCTGGTTCATGTCGCCCTTCTGTGGCTGGCAGCTGTGTGTGATTCGCTGTTTTTGTGACGCCAGAGGGCCCAGGGTTGCATTTTCTCACTGCCTCCCATCATCTCAAGACCGCTCCCACAGAGAGGGCCTCCTTAGGATGCCGTCGGACAGTCAATGCCGACTGGCGACCCCCAGGGGGAGACCCTTCTCTGTGGCAGCTCCTGCCCTCTGGAATGACCTACCCCCCAACCTACGTACAACTGCGGACCTGCGCCTTTTTCGCCGAGCCCTGAAAACCCATCTATTCCGTGCGGCCGGCCTGGCGTAGTCTTAATTATGTTTTAGTACAGGTTTTATATGGGGTATTTTAGAGCAGGCCTTTATTTATTTAATCTGATTTTAGAATAGATATTTATTGTGATTTTTATTATCGCCTGTTCACCGCCCTGAGTCCCGTAAGGGAGATAGGGCGGTATACAAATTTAAATAAACATAAACATAAACAAGACAGTGAACACACCAAAAGCATTGCTGCAATATCCAGTGAACAAATTGTTAACTCTGCCCAGGTTCTGGATCTGATCTCATTTTCTGTACATCATTGCCTTGCCTTGTGTGACTCTTGACACCTCACCCTCATCCCACTTCTGAGTCATCAAAACATTATCCATCCCGTTTTAGAGCTGTACTTTAGTTCACTGTTTTGCTATTTCAATCTCCTCTGGCAGATGATGGCATCTGTTCCGCAGTAATTGCCAGCAGGATAGAGCTTCCTTTGCAGGCTGGCTTACCTGTAGAATTCTCTCCGCAAGGAGGTTCATGCAAATATTACTGTTTAGAGCCTAGGTGAATGCCTTGTTTCTCTTCTGGGCTTCTAAAAATATTTTTAAAGAAGAGCTCTATGTCTTACTTCTTTGGAGTGAGAAGTATCTCTGTAGGTTCTGCTATCTTCTGTAGCTTTACTCCTGCAGCAATATTAAGGTAACTACAGGAGGCAGAGTAGCCACCTGTGTCACCTTCCTCAAGAACTTAAAGCAAAGCTGCTTAGACAGCAACGGGGCAGTCTTCTCCCTGCTCTTCAATCATGATAACTTTCTACAAACCTTTCCGCCAGGCCCGGCTGGGGTCCGGCAAGTTGCAAAGATAAGTTCTGGAGGCTCAGCCATCTTCACCAGCTGTTGGATCAGTTCCAGTCCGATTCCCCGATTGGAACCAGTCACTAATATGCTACGAGCTAACGGAGCCATCCTTTCACTGAACTCTTACTTTTTTGTACTGCCTGGACTTTGTTCAGTGGTTTAGTAAATATAATGTTAGGACTCAGGAAAGAGGTGTGTCTCCTCTTGACACAATCTCTTCATTTGCTTGAGGCTATGGCATGCAAATCTTTGCCTGGGAAGAACAGATCTTAAGGCATTGTTTCGGTGACAGAGCCTTGGATGGGAGCCTCAAGAGCACAGCAGGAAGAATTGTTAGGGAAAACAGGTCTTGTACTTGTAATGAAAGGTGATGGCAAGATTTTCCGTGACCGTGGTGCGTTTATTGATAATAAACAACAGCGAGGCAGTCCTACTGTGTTTAGGGACAGGTTCCTCCTGCAGAAGAAACCACGGGGAAGAGTTCTCCTTTCAGTTCACAAAGGTCTGATGCTTTCCCCCCCCCGGGGTGAAGCTCAATAATCTGTTCACCAGACTATTTTTTTCCCCTCCCAATCCAGAAAAGTGCCAGATGATGACGAATCTAAACCAGCAATGACCTTTACCAAACCCTTACTACTGGTCTCCACTGTCATAGGAGCCTGCATAGAAAAGAGAAGCTGGATTATAGTTTTTCAAATTAGTTTATATTGTTGTTATTGTTAACCTTTAATTCGATTCACAGTCTGGATAGTAAAACTTAACAGTTCAAGTCCTAACTGACGACCTAAGGGCTGTTAAGGTAGTGCTTGTGTATATAGGCAGTTCCGAATAAGGTGTTGTTGTTGTTGTTGTTGTTTTGCAAAGTCAAGATATTCAGGTCTAACAAGTTCAAAATGTCCATGTGTGTAGGCAGTCTTTTGGTTATTGCTCCAAGGGCTCCTATTACTATTGGTACAACCATGGTTTCTTCCTCCACAGTCATTCAACTTCAATTTGCAGATCGTGACATTTTGTTATTTTGGGCTTGGCCTTTTTGTCCACCTATTGACTCCTTTCCAAAGACCTGGGATAGGCAGACGTGGATGTTGGATGATGTTACAGTATTATTGTTGTTATACTACTACTACTACTACTACTACTACTACTACTACTACTACTACTACTGTTGTTGTTATTGTTGTTGTTGTTGTTGTTGTTATGGCCCTGTTCTGAACTCTGAATGGGCTGACTCCAAAGGCAAATCTTCAATTTGCAGTTTGGGCATACACACACATTGTGAGAGACGACACCCACAGAGGGGCAGCTGGTGTGAAGACTACGGTGAGGTGGCACTTTCCCAGGGAAGAGAGAGAAAAATTTATAGATTTAATTTAGGGGTCGTACATCAGAGAAATCTACCTAGAGATGTTGTTATTTACTTTTCAGAAGATTTTGTTATAATGTGTATGCAGCAAAAAGGATTTAATTTATAATACATTTGTTTGTTTTAGAAGTTTTATATTTTTAAAACTTTTGATTTTAAATATTGATGGTTAATTTGTTGTATAAAAGAAAGAGAATATTTCATTATTTGAAAAAGTTTGCAATGAATTTATATTATGTTAAAGGATTGATTTGATTAAAGTAGTTATAAGGAGCTGTATTTTGAATAGAGTTTATATAACGAGAATTCATAAAATTAGTTAAAGACTGTAAAATAATTGATTGGATATATGGGATATAATTCGTACTTTATTATGGGATTTGAATTTTAAAGAGACGAATGTGATGCTGATGTTATAATAGTGGTAAGATTATTGTTGTTTAAATTTTAGAAAAGATGGGTAGATTATATTCAGAGAAAGTTAGAAAGTGATAAATATTTTTTAGTTTATGAGTAAATTTTATAATGTTTATTATAATTAAGGATATTATTATGTTTAGGTCTTGAAGAAATGGTAAAGATTTCCGCATATTTGCAAGATTAATTTTAAGTGTGACTTGGGGAAGATGGATAGATTATTATTAGTTATATGCTTAGTGTTTTATTTGATTGTTTTTTAATGTTTAGAGTTAAAGGATGTTTATACTTGTTTGTTTTAAATTTGGGTACTTATATTTTGACTTGGGATGAGGTGTTTGTAACCCTGTAATCAATTCTGGGAAGTCCGGGGGGGGGATTGGGAGTGGGTGGGTGGGTAGAAATAGATATAAAATAATCAGGTGTACTGATGCTAAATTTTTGAGAAGCAGATGAGTTGTTATTGATATTAATGTATGCCTGTATTTGTATATTTGGTTTTGGTTTTTTTTGAAAATTAATAAAAAATTGTTTGGGGAAAAAAAACACCATCCTGGCTTAATCTTTTGTCCCAAATACCTCAATTGATTCATGCCTGCAACGGAAGCCCACCTCAGTACATTCCCCCAGCTCGTATCTTAAAGATGTTTAATTACGGTTGATCGTCTACATACCTTTGATTCAGATCCAGTAGGGTTCTTACAAGTTGCGAAAATATGGCCTTGAGGAGGGTTGGTAAATATAATGTTAGGACTCAGGAAAGAGGTGTGTCTCCTTCTGACACAATCTCTTCATTTGCTTGAGGCTATGGCACGCAAATCTTTGCCTGAGAAGAGCAGATCTTAAGGCATTGTTTCGGTGACAGAGCCTTGGATGGGAGTCTCAAGAGCACAGCGGGAAGAATTGTTAGGGGAAACAGTGTTTGGGGCCAACTCCTGACACTTGTCAAAGTTCGTAGGGTTGGGAAAAGCATCTCCAAGGATCAGAAGAGATGTGATACTCCTCCGGTCTGCTACCCACCCAATTTGCATGAAGGGATTTTTTATTGTGCTTATGATTTTAGTATGTTAAAGTTTGACATTAGCCTTTATTTTATATACAGCAACCATTTTATATTGATACTTATAGTGTTATCATGTAATCATTGTTTTGTTATTTTGTAATCATTATTTTGTAGTTAATTGCTTGATCAGATGCTTTATATATATACTAGCTGTACCCGGCCACGCGTTGCTGTGGCTCAGCCTGGTTAAATGGAAAAGAAAGAAAAAGAGAAAGCGCACGTTTGTAATATGTTTAATTTCGCAATGCTAGCGTGTGTTGCTTTTACGTCCAACAGATGGCGCTGTTTTTCAAAAAAAGCATGTTTTTACCTGTCACAGGTGTGACATCTAGAATAATAGTAGGTGTATAAAAACACACACATATTCGAAGGCAACGTGGTGTCAAAATTTCAAAGCAATCGGTGAAGAACTTTCAGAGATTTAAGATTTTGAACAAACGAACATTTACATTTTTATTTATATAGACTGGAAAAGTAAGGGCTTCATGCTTTAGGTCAGTGGTTCTCAACCTGTGGGTCGGGACACCATTTGGGGTCGATCGACCATTTCATGGGGGTCGCCAAGCAAGGCTGTCCGCCATTTTTTTTGTCCGCCATTTTTTCCCCTTTTCCGGCAGGTGCCTTGCCTCCCTTGGGCTGGGCCAGCTGGTGGTCGGCCTGCTCTGTCTCTGCCGCTTGCCAGATACGCCTCGGCCGGCGCAGGGGGCGGAACCATGCATGTGCGGCGCTCCCGGGCAGGGAAAGTCCTCGACTTACAACCGGCTGGGTAGTCCTCGACTTACGACCGGTTTAGTCCTCGACTTACGACCGGTTTAGTCCTCGACTTACGACCGGTTTAGTCCTCGACTTACGACCAGTTGGGGTCACGGCATTAAAAAGGTTGAGAACCACTGCTTTAGGTACAGGTGATTGTTTATATGAAAAGAGCACAGTATGGGGAGGGGGAAAAGGAGTTACGGATGGAGCCTGGGTTGCTGTGTATGAGTCATCATCTAAGAATTATTTTTTTTTGTGTGCCATCTTATGCCTGGTACCAAGACCTGATCTTTTTGTTCTGGAAAGGTATAAAAGGTGGAAGACATCTTTTCTGGGTGTTGCCTTCATTCCTCTACCAGCCACGAAGAGGAATCAGGCAGCCCCTCTCTGTTTTGATCAAAATAAAGTTGTAATCTTTGTTGAAACCTCGGCTCAGGACTTTCTTTGGCTCTTTTAAATTCCTGAGTAACGCTGGGGCAGTTGTGAGGCTAAGTGGAAAACCTTACATTCACATCCTTTGCGATGCTTCTGAACCTCCCCCCCTTAGATCTGGATTCACACAAATGAATAGCACAAATAAATAGCCACAGCATCCACTCCTCTGGAGAGAACCTTCCCACATGTGGCACTTGTAATGAAAGGGGATGGCAAGATTTTCCGTGACCGTGGTGCGTTTATTGATAATAAACAACAGCGAGGCAGTCCTACTGTGTTTAGGGACAGGTTCCTCCTGCAGAAGAAACCACAGGGAAGGTTTCTCCTTTCAGTTCACAAAGGTCTGATGCTTTCCCCCCGGGGTGAAGCTGAATAATCTGTTCACCAGATTATTTTTTTCCCCTCCCAATCCAGAAAAGTGCCAGATGACGACGAATCTAAACCAGAAATGACCTTCACCAAACCCTTAGTACTGGTCTCCACTGTCATAGGAGCCTGCGGGGGAAAGGAGAAGCTGAATTATGGTTCTGCAAACTGGTTTATTATATCATTATGGTTAATCTACAGTTCGATTCACAGCCTGGGACTGGTAAAAACTTAACAGTTCAAGTTCTAACCAAGAACTTAAGAAGCGATAGGGTATGTGGTTGTTGTTGTTGTTAAATTATGGCCCTGTTCTGAACTCTGAATAGGCTGGCTCCAAAGAAAAGTCTTCAATTTGCAGTTTGGGCATACACACACATTGTGAGAGACGACACCCACGGAGGGGCAGCTGGTGTGAAGACTACGGTGAGGTGGCAGTTTCCCAGGGAAGAGCGAGCACATCCCAGGAGTGGGGTAAGACAACAGGCAGCACAGCCCAGAGATGGAGAAGAGACAGAGGAAGAGAGCTAGGATAGCCACTCCCTAGAATCTCCCAGGTAGATCCGTTAAGGTGAGAGTACTAAAGGTTTAGCCTGGCAGGAGACAGTCTCTTGGGTGTAAGGAAACAAAGAACTGAATTATGGCTGCACTGTTCCACCTCGTTCTTGGACTTAGCCTGACACACATAACCCATCAACAAAACAGATGGACCCAAAATATATTTTTGCTTTATAAATATTCATTTATAAAGCCAGTTTGTTCTCTAGTGGTTAAGGCACCAGGGTGGAAAGTGGGAGACTGTGAGTTCAAGTCCCGCCTTAGGCACAAAAGCCAGTTGGGTGACCTTGGGCCTATCATCAGGAGACGGTGAGTTCTGCTCCCAGTTTAGTCATGAAAGCTGGCTGGGTGACTATACCAAACTGGCTCCCAAGTACATTTCTAAATTTTTGAGAATATTCATTATTCCCTCCCTCCCCCATCTTACAGTACCTGTTCTGATCCCATGTCAGTTTTCACCCATCCAGGATGGAGCAGAACACATGCAATTCCATCTGTTTTCAGTTCCTCTGCAAGGCAGGCATTGACCATGTTCAGCGCTGTCTATAAAACAAAGCGTGAGAGAATGAATGGCAGAACCTGGGGGTTGGGATGAAAAGAGGGATCAGCCTGGAGTCCCTACAAAGCCAGAAGTAAACTAACTCCAACCCTCCTGAAGTGCCGTGGATGCAAGTAGGTGCTGATCCTTAGTTGAGAAGATTCCTGTCCATAGGCATTTAGCAATAAATCAAGTTTTCAATAGTGGTGAATATTTGTAATAGTGGTGAATATTTGTAATTGGGGTATAGGATGATGGTGGAGGTTCATTCTGTGAGCTTGTGGATTGGTTTATGAACATTTTGTTACCAGTCTAGGTAACATCTTCAGTGGAGTTCAGGGGATGTCAGAGTCGGTATTCTTCTGCAAGATCTTCAGTAGATCTCGTGATGGGGACATCATGTCAGGTGAGAGTCAGGTCAGGTCAGGTGATGGGTCTGACGACCCAAGATGACCCACACCTGACCCATCAGAAGACCTTCACCTGATATGACCCTCACCTGATGTGACCTCCCCATCATGAGATCTACTGACCTCACAAAGCCCTTAGAAGAAGAAGAACACCAATGCCTAAACTCTGTTGAAGATGTTCTCTAGCGTGGGAATGAAACATTTGGAAACCAATCCAGAAGCTCGGAGAACGAATCTCCACCCTCAATAAATCCGTTTAAGTGAAGCTTCACACGAGGACCTGAGTTTTCATCATCACTTTAACAAGTCCTTTCCCTAATGCTCACACGTCTCTGAACCTTGGCCCCAGGTCCAGTTTCACTTTACAAAGGCTTCATACTGATCAGAGGCTCCTGGAGCCGGAGATTGGCAGGCAGGACGGCTAGAAATGACTTGGACTATCTCGTTGGCTAGGTTCAAAATAACAGAATCTCTGAATTACCTTGCTGACACGATATTGGTACCCCGGAGGAATTTTTGTTGCGGTCTTAAAACCCTCCCCAATGGAGCTAATTATAGAAGATATGTTGACGACAACTGCCTTGTTGCCTCCCACGTTTCCTTTCGTGGTCTCCGTGGCAGCCTTCTTCAGAAGAGGCAGGAATTCCTAAAATACATATGAAACAGTAGGCCGGAATGTCACATTTCTCTCCTTCCTGGGTCTCATTCAGATCTTTTCTTTTATTCTCACTGGCTTTTCTTGTTTCCCAAGTCATGGTTTTCTCTTGGTGCCACCTCTGATCCCGTTGGCTCACGGTTGACCTCACTGGCACCTTTAACACTAACCAGGCCTTCCATCTCAAGCGGACTCCACTATAGCTTTGGCCTGCTCTACTGCTTCCTGCCACATAATGCTACCCCTAACTCTACACATATATAGGTATTCCTCGATTTACGGCCATCACTGACCCCAAAATTTCTGTTGCTAAGTGAGACTGTTGCTAAGGGAGTTTTGCTCCGCTTTACGACCTTTCTGGCCACTGCGAATCCCTGCAGTCGTTAAGTTAGTAACACGGTTGTGAAGTGAACCCGGCTTCCCCATTGACTTTGCTTGTCAGAAGGTCGCAAAAGGCGATCACATGACCCTGGGACGCTGCGACCGTTGTAAATATGAACCAGTTTCCAAGCATCCGAATTTGGATCACGTGACCCTGGGGATGCTGCAACAGCTACAACTTCTTTGTTTTCACTGTTTTCAGTAACTTCAAACTGTCATTAAATAAATGGGTGTAAGTTGAGGACTACCTATACAGCTCCCGGGACCTTAAACCAGACTTACTTTGACAACCAGGAGGGGTCCCACTGCATTGGTCTTGTAGGACCTTAGCATATCTTCCTGATCGACGTGTTCCAGAAAAAGGGCTTGGGAATTTCTGCCCGCATTGTTGATGAGCAGATTGAGCCCTCGTCCATTCAGCTGGGATTGTACTTCTGACGCAGCCCGCTTTATGCTGGAAAGGTCTGTCGTATCTACCACAGACAGGAGAAAGCTAATAGGACAGGTCTCAATAAAATCAACTTGGTCCCTAGTTTGATGTGTGCGGGCAAAGTGTAAGGGTATGTGGGAAAGACCTTCAGAGACAGTGGGAAAAGCTGCAGCCTAGATAACAGCCTGATAAATGGAATCTCCCCACCTAGCAGTTCAAAAGTGTGCAAATGCGAGTAGATAAATAGGTACCACTTCAGTGGGACAATAACAACGGTCATAATGGTTGTAACGGTCGTGGGACTGTACCACTACTGTACATTTCGACTATAAAAACCAACATAAAAATCCCCAAACTGAGAATTAAGTCTGTAAGTGTGTTGTAAGTGTGGTGCACTCGACTGACAAGCTCATGGAATTGATGATGATAGATATGGTAGTATGTTGTTTCGATCGCCGGAGTCAAGAAGCTTACCGTCTTTTCCCTGAAGTATTATGCCATAAGAAATGGGGTTAAAATGCTTTCACTGCAATAATTACCCAGAGAGTAAAGATCCCATACCTAACTGAAGCACGTGAGTGTTGTCATGCTGACTAGCAAAATTCTGCAAAGCCTGCAATTGAGAAAGAAAATGTGAAAAAGAACAGGTTGAATAGATAAAATATATTAAAAAAGCACCCACAACCATATTAACTGGGATACATTTCTGTGAAATGGAACTTGGAAGGATTTGTGGACTAGAATAGTCCACATCTGCACCTTTATCTGTTTTATTTAGAAGCCGGAACCACTTAACCACTGTGCACCCATCTTAACAACCACAGCTATTCATTTAACAACTGTGGCAAGAAAGTTGCAAAATGGAGCAAAACTCACTTAACAAATGTCTCACTTAGCAAACAGAAATTTGGGGCTGAAATTGTGGTCCTAATTCGAGGAGTACCTGGACTCGGCTCTTACATTGTGTGATATGTGAAACCCAAATAAAATCATGGTGTGGTTCAGCATGAGGTGCATAAAGCAGGTTGAGTTTTCTGGTTTGGGATGTCTTAGTGTGAGGTCTGAATGCCAAGCCACCTTGCATCATTTGGTGGACTGTGATTCAAAACATCCTGGCTTAATCTTTTGCCCCGGATACCTCAATTGATTCATGCCTGCAACGGAAACCCACCTCAGTACATCCCCCCAGCTCGTATCTTAAAGATGTTTAATTACCGTTAATCGTGTACATACCTTTGATTCAGGTCCAGTAGGGTTCTTACAAGTTGCGAAAATATAGCCTTGAGGAGGGTTTATTTTCACCAGCTCTTTCACCAGTCCAAATCCAATTCCCCGGTTGGTGCCGGTCACCAGGATATTCCGAGCTACTTGAAACATCCTGGCCCTTGACTTTTGCTCTTCAACCCTGTTCCCCTTTGGACAGGTGGTGACATCTGCATCTGCAGATAAGAAGAGATGACTAATATTAGGCTAGCCTGAAGGGGATTCTCTTGAAAATATAAATACAATAACGGATTAGTCCTTGACTGAAAAGCCGGAACCAGAATTTCCATTGCTAAGCAAGGCGGTTGTTAAAGGGAGTCGCCCCTGGTTTTATGACCTTTTGTGCCATGCTTGTTAAGCAAATCCCTGCGGTTGTTAAGAGAACCACATGGTCATTTAAGGGAATTGACTTCCCCAATTCACATCACCCAACTTTTGACCAAGCAAATTAAGCTAAACCTAGGACATATACATATCTTTGTATAAGAATGGCTGCAGGATTTGGGTATGGCTAGTCTAGAGAAAAGAAAGACTTGGGGTGACATGATAGCAGCATCCAAGTATTTGAGGGGCTGCCACGAAGAAGAGGGGGTCAACCTATTTTCCAAAGGACCAGAAGGTAAGACAAGAAACAATGGATGGAAACTAACCAAGAAGAGAAGCAACCTGGAATTAAGGAAAAACGTCCTAACAGTGAGAACAATTAACCGGTGCAACTTCAGAAGTTGTGGGTGCTTCATCACTGGAGGTTTTGAAGAAGAGAACGGACAGCTACTTGTGTGAAATGGTTGTTGTTGTTGTTAATTGCGAAGTCGTGTCCGACCCATCGCGACCCCATGGACAACGCTCCTCCAGGCCTTCCTGTCCTCTACCATCTTCTGGAGTCCATTGAAGCTCACGCCTACTGCTTCAGTGACTCCATCCAGCCACCTCATTCTCTGTCGTCCCCTTCTTCTATTGCCCTCCATCTTTCTGAAATGGTGTAGGGTCTTTATTTGATATGTGGGTTGGACTGGAAGACCTTCATGGTTCCTTCCAGCTCTATTCTGAATTAATTGTATACATATAATATTTCTATTGTTTCTCACGGCTTAGGCTACGTAGCGAAAGCAGATTGGGAAGTTCCCGCAGTGTCACAAACTTTAAGATGGGCTTTGCTATTCCTTATCTAATCAGACCTTCTTCCAGGCATCTTACCTGAAGCAAGTGGAATAGTCCCAAGAAATAGTTCCCTGGACAATTTAGACCAGGGGAGAGAAAGACTTCCCCCGTTCGTTGCAATCTATGACTGATGCTCACCCCCAAAGCAGATTTAGCAGTATTACATAGCACTTTCCACCTCCTTCTTTCTCTGGCACCATCTCTTTGTTTCTGTTCTCCACTTCATCTAGAATTATGCCTTTCATACCTGGATAAAAACCGTCTCAGCAGCTGTAAGGACAAAGCTGTAGTTTCCCTACTGACTGTGCAACTATTATGACATCATTTCTCTGTCCCTACAGTTATGATTGACTGCAGTTTCATTCACTGGGCCTCTGTTGACTTTATGAAACTTTTAATATATATTGCTAGTCCATGGATGATGTGCCAAGTGGCTGGGGAATTCTGGGTGTTGAAATCCACCCATCTTAAAGCAGCTCAGGTTAGGAAACACCATCCTATGGAAATAGTTATAATCTGAAGGACTGCAGGGTGTGGTCAAAAAAGTGCATATAGGACCATATATTTGAAGCTCCATCTATTTTATATGAATTGCCCCTAAAAAAGGTTGAGCTTTGATCCCACCCTATAAGCCACCATCTTGGCTTTTTTTAACCACACCATTGGACACCATTGCCTATTCTGGCTCATTTAGTTGATTATCTGGGGTTCAGATGTCTATCCCACATTCTAGACTTGGAGATCCTTAGTCTTTTTGTGTACAACATGCTACTTGAGAGCAGTTTTATTTAAACATTCAGTGTTTATCTGATCTTCAGAGCTGATTCTTATCACTCAGAATTTCTATTGTGGCTTTTTCTTATTTTATGCAATGGGATGTTTGCACCATGCTTCAAAGATCCTCAACACACACACACACACACTCATACACACAAAATTGTAAATCCACATTCACATTTAATGTTCCAATTTTTTTATTTTTTATTTTTACGGACATTGCAGAAAATATTTTAAAACTCGAGCAGATGCACGGTGCAAGGTGCCTTCCTTTGGTCATTTAATTTAATTTAAAAAAAAGGGATTCTGCAAAATATTCAAAGGACTTATTTTCATATTTAAAATATATATATAAAGAACAGTGCATTTTAACGACATGGTCCTTCCCCCATCGTACATTATCCTACCAAATCAATCTCGAATTATTAACTACTCTCTGTAATTAGATCTTCCCTTCCACGCCCGCCCCCGCCAGTCTCTTCCCTTAATGGCGGCCCCCTTGCCGCCTTCAAGCCCTTCCCAGGGAGGCCACGTGACCTCGGTTTCGCAGCCATTGCATCAGCCGGTCTAAAAATCCTTCAATCTCAGCATGCTGTAAGGCTGGCAAAGTCGGCGTGACTCGGCCCCTTTTAAAGATAACAGACAAGACTTTGGACCAATAGCCACCCGCTTCTCAACTTATAGACCAATAGGATGTGCGAAATGAAGAAAGGCCCGCCTCTTGCCCGGTTGCGTAGCGAAAACGCCGCCGCAGCTCCTGGCAGCGACATCGCGGGTTGGGGGAAGCGGCTGAAAAGGCCAGGTAGGCTATTGGGGTCGTTTGAATGGAAAGAAATAAAACAAACGCGTTAGTTCCACTCCAGCATCTCCTGTCTTGCTTTCCAGGCGGAAAAGGCGGCGTCCTCAGTGGTTCCCTCCCCCTCCAGTCTATCCGCACATCAACCCTGCAAGGTAGGCTGGGCGGAGATAGGTTGGCTGAATCCCCAAGCGCTCAATAAAAGTCAGGGTGAGATGGTTGCTTGTAGGCACGTTGGACAGTGGACCCCCTTTTTTGCCCCTTTGCTCAAGCTCTCCTCCTATAAAGAGTTGGGTGTAGGTTGCTGATTGGGGGGCTCAATTGCTTAAATGCCCCATGGTGTTTTCCTGCTGGGTGTGTGTGTTGTGGGTCTCCAACCCTGTGTGTCTACAGAGATTCTCCATCATCCAGGTCATAATTGTCTCAAAGGTGCTTTTTTTTTAAAAAAAAAAAAAAGGTAACTGGACATTCTTGAGTTTTTTCCCCCTTTGAAAACGTTTCGCTTCTCCTCCAAGAAGCATCTTCAGTTCTAACTGACCAATGGGGAATGGAAAGTCTAAATGCTAAGGGCCAGATGATTGCAAAGAATATAAATCTTTCCATTCCCCGGCAGTCAGCTAGAACTGAAGCGAAATGTTTTCAAAAGGAAAAAAAAAAGAACAAGAAAGTCCAGTTGCCTTTTGGGGGGGGGGGAAGCATCATTGGGACTGCAACCCTGAGGCTCATGGTGTCCAAGGTGAATTTGATTTATGGCCAGCTGCACTGGGTCAAAGTGACATACTGTGCCTTAAGGCCCATGGGGCACCCCTTGTCCTAAGTCGTAACTTGACTTCTTCTTAACTTCTTCTTAACTTAGCCATTGTGGTTTGCAAATAGTAGTTTAAGGGGTAGCATCCCTTGTGAAGCGGTAGTGTTTGATACGTTATGGGGGAGCAAATCCTCAGTTGTTCACTGACAGTTATGTGTTAAAAGGCCTTGGCTTTTGTTCTAGATTTATTTTTTTTAAAAAATAGAGTTTTATGTTTGTTTAGAAATTGTTTTGGATTGTGAGTTATTTCTGAAGATGGGTGGCCTTCTACCTTTCTTACATAAATAAAAACGTATCAGAGTTGGTCAGTCTGGGAGACACACTGGGTGGTGGAGGGAACAAGGGTGGAAGAGATATTGGTCTCCATCTGCTTTGTAAAACACCTGAGAGGCATCTGGGTGGCATTGTACAAAATGAAAAGCCTGGGGCAGAAGAACTGATCTGAAGTTCTGATGATCAGAGGATTACAGTATTTCTGAAAAACACTAGATTGAGAAATGTTGGCCACCATCCAGTTTGGCCAGTTGGACATTTCTGTTCTTCTGCCAGTTTGGAAACTCTGCATTTGTGGAAGCTGTTGGCAACTGATCATCTGCTTTGGCCTGCTGTGTAGGGAACAGAGTGTCTTACCACATGTTTTTAACCTTTCCTCTGAAATTCAGAGGTTGTATTTATACAACACCCTTAAACTTAGAGACTGGATGGATCGATTTCTGGTTTGCCTAATACACTGAATCAGAACCTAATCAAAGCATTGCCTAAGGTGGGAGTGACTTTTTATAACTTAGTGTTACTTTCTTCAAATCTGGTGTTTCTTCTTTCCATCTCTCTCTCACCAGTGCTGACCAGAGGCCTCACCATGGAGACACTGACAGCCTGTGAGATCCGTCAACGCTTCATCAATTTCTTTGTGGACAACCAGCACACTTATGTACACTCGTCTGCTACTATCCCTCTGGATGACCCTACTCTCCTTTTCGCCAATGCTGGCATGAACCAGGTCAGTGATAACAGATGCTCGTAAAAGAGAGGAAATTGTACTCTGTTTTTCATAATTCAAGAATTTGGGGCCGACCAATATATTTATATGTTTTTCAAAATTTGGATTGCTAACAAAGAATTAAGGGAGAACTGGAATAGCCATTTCGAACTTTTTAGTTCTTTTCAACCAGACATACCCTTCTGAGATTCGAACCTGGGCTGTCTGCATGTTAGGCAGATCTATTAACCTCTAGGCCACAGGTTCTTTCTCACTTATTTCTCACTTCTCCCATATTTGGGCCGACAGGGTGCACCAAACTCAAGATAATATATATATATACATATAAACACCCGTGAAAACCTCAAAAAACATATATATATATATATATATTTAAATGTGCTCAGCCTAGTTTGCACAACAACTCCAGAGTTGAGAATTGCTATTGTTTTCCCAGTTCAAGCCCATCTTCCTCAACACAATTGACCCTTCCCATCCCATGGCAAAGCTGACACGAGCCGTCAACACCCAGAAGTGCATTCGAGCTGGTGGCAAACACAACGACTTGGACGATGTGGGCAAGGATGTGTATC